TATTGACTTATTATTTTACTTGGAAATTGATATGCTTTTTGCTGATCGACAGCGCGGTGAAGGATGATTGTCAAGGGAAAGATAATAAGAGTAAGATGACGTTGCTGCCGGCTGGATGTTAAGGCGGCAAGATGACACAATAATTATAATTGTTTCTGCGAAAGTATTATGTTACGGGAGGAGGATCAGTGTCAGTTTACCAATCAATGTTGAAAAACGAATTCCAGAATCGCCGGTCAGTTCGAAATTCGAGGATATAACCGACATTCTCCGCGGCGATAACCAACGAGTAAATTGATACTCGATATACTCGAGAGGAGTGCGAAGACATGCCTGAGTCCGATCCCAGTTGTGTCTGGCGTGTAAATGTTAATAACGTTACGTCGATCAATTACGGACCATCCCTACGATTTCTTAATGTGATTAATAGTTGCGAAGTACATAATAAGATGATTCAGTTGCGATATAGATATTGTAATCGTGTTTTATTCGAGACATCGACAGTTTAATGAATACATAATGAAGCAATTATGTGTCTAATAATAAACATGATTAGAAATTGTGCATGGAAAGAACGATTTTGCTGAAGTATTTAAATATTTAGCTAGATATGCACTGCACTCAAAAAAGTGATCTTGCAGTTACAGCGAAAATTATCTAAGTACGAAAAATAGCTGGAATAGATAAATTTCTAGCAGGTATTGGATATTGGATATATATTGCATCTAATCATATAGATGACAGAGATAGAATTTAGATTTGTGCTATAAATTCTATGCGTATGATACATAATTTTCTATCAGATACAAAAAATAGTTATAATTCTAGCTGGAGCAGCAAAATATTTTTGTGTTAAATTTATAATGTCGAATTATACCAATTTGTATTATTTTTATAAATCATTTTTATAAATTACCACTGCTGGACATGATATCTGAAGACACGAAAGTATCTCGGCACTAAGATATAGCGCGAGATACTGCCGTGTCGCTCCTTTACATTTGCCGGCGAGTTGGGCCGGATCGATTAATTTAACTAAAACAATGGAATTTAATTTAAAAAATTTAATTCAAGAAATTGTATTAAATATTCGTTTGACTAAAATTTAATTTATTATTTATTAAATACACTGTTTTAAAATAAATAGTTTATTTGTATTAATATGGACGCTATTTATTTTGAAACTATAGAAATGGATTGATTTACATCTTAAATATATGAAAATTAAAAATAACGAAATGTTTATTCAAGAAATTGCGTTATCATTTCTCCTAATATTCAAGTTGATTATTAAAATTTTAACTTTTTAATATTCATGCTTGAGTTTCCTACATATATTTTGATAATCTGAATACAATTATTCCTGAATCTGTATTTTTAGATATTTCAGCAAAACCGTTAATTCTTTCTGCGTGAGATTCGTTTCTTTTCCTTAAGAAAAAAGAAAACATACTGAGATGTATTGTAGTTTAAAAAACGATATTTAAAAAACAACTCAAAGTTTTTTATGCATGCACAACTGATACGAATATCGTACTTTCAGACGTATTTACGATCTATATCGGTGTTTCACCGAACGCATATGTCGAAAATGCGTCATGCTAGGTAAAAGAAGAATATCGCGTGTTTTATTTCCAAAAATTTCGTTGACGGCACCGTTAACGTGCGGCAAGCGTTAACGAAGGTCAAAGATCGTTATTGAAAACGCGAATAATTGGATAAATGCGCACACGGGGAAGGAGTGCTATGAAATCACTGTAAATTAATCGACGGGGAGTCGGATCCCCAGTTACCGAAAAATCACGCTAATGAGTGGACGAGGGAGATTTGGCAGAGGGAAGTGATAGGGGAGGACTGAGAGCGAGCTGTGGTCACTTCAAACGTCAATGCCGATCGTAAACCGGGCCTGTATCACACAAAAGCGTATTGACGATAATAATTAACGCTCCGTTACAAACGGCCTCGGATGTACAGATGCGCGCGGTCGAGGTAGGCTTAGCTCGTGTAATTAGCGCTAATTAATACAGTGCAATCGGCTCGGTCGCGGAATCTCGGCGACACGGATTTAAGGGGCGAAAAACGCGATTAAGTAGAACACACTGGGGTCCGCAAACGTGCGTGTCTACGTTTTTCATCGATCGCCAATCTGAGACTGGCGCGACGGTCTTTTCTACTTTCAAAACGCACAGCGGCGATCAAATCAGTTCGGCAATCGTTCGGGGATCGTTCGGTAGTTATCATGGTCTGTTTACGAATAAATAATCGCGTAATTCCACAACTTAGTAGCATTCTGCAGAGAAAACAACTTTACAACTGTTGTAAGGTCCTTTAATATGATTTTTATATTTAGTGAAAAATTAAGGGCAAGAATTATAAAGAACGATTTTGCTGAAGTATTTAACAATTTAGATACGAAAATAATTTTAACCATCAAAATATTATGTAGGATGCTCAAGTTGGTTGTCGGAATGTCAAAATTTTTTGCAATATTGTCATCAACACTTAAGCGTTCTGTATAATTATTTTGATGATCCAACAAAATTATTTTCAGGTATCTAATATCTAGCTAAATTTTTAAACATTTCAGCAAAATCATTCTTTCCTATTATATTTCCTGATATTAAATACCCTTGATTGTATAAATTCTTTTCATTAAGTTTAAAGAGAAAACACCGATTGAAGAATGACAATTCCGACTGATAGAACGATGGCTGCGTAGCGTAGACAATTAATAGCTGACAAAATGAAAGCGATGTTAAAATTTCTTACAGCCACCTGCACCGTACAGTGACAGCTATTATTATTGCTGTCTATACAGATACTAAGCGAATTGCGCGCAAAGGTAAACCGGTTAGCCGAAGGCTAACAGTTTGAGTGTCTATATAAAGTAAGGAATTAACATGAAAATGCGTTTTAAAGAATAATTGAGCGGGAAGAAATTCACCAGCTGTTCGTTTCGTGCCTCTTCCAGAATGTGTGATATTAAAATGCTAACGCCATGTGATTACGTTATATATTAATAAAGTTATGTAAGGTATGAGGATAGCGTTAATTAGTTGGCTTTAAATGCGCGTATATATCGTTACGTATTATACGATGAAACGTACGTTAATTAATTCTACGATGGCACGAAGCGAATGATTCATCGAGCAAAATTAAATAACTCATACATTTTTTAGGTGTTTTGTATACATAAAATTTATATTATATGTGTACTTACATTTATTTGATTTGAAAGAGATTTTTCTTCGAGTCTTCCTGAGACACTACAAAATCATGGAAACTCAAAACTTTAAAATATTTTTTTTAATGGAAAGCATATGTATTTTTAAATTACTGTTGAAGTCACGTCGCGCAGCGGTTGATTGCTACCGTCATACCCATGAATTCTCAACACAGGCATAAACAAATAGCAGGATCACAAAATATATTGTAGTTTTCAGACTTGCACGCGCAAATTTGCAGCAAGTGGCTGTAATGACATGTTTCTTCTATGACTGATTATTACTTTTTTATTATTTAATTATTTTAATAAGTCCGATAATTTAATTTTTCGTAAATTGTGACAACCTAATTTATGGTTTACGTTTACAGTGGCATATCGTTACGTACTTTTAATAGATTCCCTTGCAAGGCTCAATCGATCTTTTTCTTTTTGACGTCACGTTTTTATGTCGAATCCGAGAATCTTGTTTGTGCATTGTAAAAATAATCGTATAAATCTTAAGTTCGTTAGCAACGATTTATTGTACGTTAGCTTTAGAAAACAAAAGCCAAGCGTGAAGTTCACTCTGAGAGTGAATGAAAGTTTAATTTCGCGAATGGTGATCAACCTTCGTTTTCATATACATATTTCCATCGTATGAATTTATTTTATTATATTGAAAGAAAAGTGTTTGTATTTTTATTTTTTTACTATAATTATATGGTAAAATAATTATAGTTAAGAACTTCGTTTTTATAGTTATTACTGCTATATTAGTAATAATTATGTTTATATAGTTCCTGTACATATAAAAATTATATAATCATTTTTCATGCCAACTATATATTTTTTGTTGAAATAAAATAAAATGATAATATTAATTTTAATATTAAAATTGAATTACTAAATAATAACATAGTGATAATTATAAAAAATGGAATTCCAAATCATAATTATTTTACTATGCAATTATAGTCACAAATATCAAACACTTCTCTCTCACAAGCGGTATAAACATTCAATTAGATACTTTTTTACTTCGCGATTCATCCAGCAATTAAGAAAGGAATCGTGACTGAAAGAATTCTCGCGACGCATCCTCCCCGTCGCGATGTGGGGGTGGCTCGGGTACACGACTTGACGTTGCGGAGGCGATTCCGCGGCGCAGGGCGGTTTTAGTCACTCCCACCTGTGACAGAGACCACGTGGTATCCACCACGGCACCCCGGTGCACTCAACAGCATCGCTACCGACGACGAGTATACGTCCTCTCTACCACCGTCACCACCGTCGTCGGCGGAGGTGCCTCCTCCACTACCACCACCGCCACTACCACCGCCACCACCGTCACCGTCGCCAGCACCACCGTCATCATCACCCACCCGTGTTCTCAGTGTCAAGCGGACGACGCGTCTGTCGACGAGTGCGTTGTCTATCGCGCGAGTTCGAGAGAGAAGAGACCTTCTCCTGTGATCACAGCCTCGCTACCGATCGACATCGCGCGTCCTGAGATCACTGTGATCCTCGCGATCTCTCGATGTCGACTAACGAGGGAAGCTAGGACGACGACAGATTCTCTTTTTTTTTTCTTCCTTCGTCAGTTAGCAGTCCGCTTGGCATCACGTGCCGGCCACCGTCTCGCGGGAGCTCGCGACACGCGACTCGTGTAGACGGTGGTACTGAACGGCCGGCACGACCTCGTCGTCGCCGTCGAGGAGGCCCGACCCTCGAAGCACGAGGGTATCGCCCGCCAAGAGGGAAGGCGACAGGCCTTCTGGCCTCTTCGCGAGGATGTCGCCGCCTCCTCGTCGTCGGCGACGACGTGGATGTACGCGCTTCTCGGTAAGGGGATTCTCGCGATGACGCGCGAATGCTCGTGATGTGCGAAATATCGTCGCGATCCTTTCGAAACGTCGGAAAAAATCATTTTGATCTGCGTATTGTTTTAATATATACACTCTAAAAGGCTGATAATAACTGCTAAATGTTGAATGAAATAATTCCAATCAAATATTCGGTTAATATAACCATAATTATTTTATTTTCTAAATATTTAGTAAACGGTACGTTAACCGAACATTTGATTGGAACTATTTCCACTCAACATTTGGTAGCTATTTTTTCAGTTGTATCCCTGATATTGGCCCGTGATTTTGGCAAAAGAAGAAATCAATCTAATACAGAATATCATTGCGCATTTTTATAATTACTTTATACATTTTGTTTCATAATATTAAATTTTATGTGAGATTTATGTCCATTTCTACCAATGTAGATTAACTTTAATATTGGTTTAATTAATTTTTTTATAATTTTTAGAATTATAGAAAGATAAAAAGTAAGTTAAACCGACATTAAAGTTAATCTACATTGATATAAATGGACATTAATCGAACATAATTTCTTTGTCAACGTCTTTTTAGATAGTATATGTATTGCTTTTCGTATTTTTAAATCACTGTCAGTAGGTAATTTAATAAGCTATAATTTATTTATAAAAGTCAGTAGATAATTTAATAAGCTATAATTTATCTACAAAAATGATAAATTACAAACTGTGGATTCAATAGTGATTTTTAAACAGAGTCGGTTAAAGTGTTTTCTTTTAATTGCAAAAGTGTCTTCTTATTGGTTTCTTTTAATCGAAAGACTTGTGTCAGTGACTTATTGTGCTGTTGTCATTCATCAGATACGTTTTCCATCAATTATATTTCAATAACAATCATTTGGATATTCTCATCAGCTCAGGTACTGTTTTCTTTTCCATTGTCACATTGAAATTCGTATTCATACTAATCTTATCGTGTCGATTCCTTTATTTGGATCACAAAGGATATCTTCCTCTGAAAAAAGCTCTATCTTCTGTTTCTGATCTTTACTTAATCATTACAATGAATTTATTATCCATTCAAATAACTCTTTGATTTAACGACACTTTTACTGATGGCGAGATATTATATTTTCCAACATCGAAAATCGCAACAGGTGCCATCGTCGTGTCCATTATATCGATCATTATGCCACTGACATCATTGTTGCTATTTCCATTGATAAAGGCGTCCGAAGTATGGTTATCGAAGGTCGCGCGAGCGCGACGTAATTGTTGTAGCTCCTAGGTAATGTCATTGTCACTATTATCTCAATCGTCAGCGTCACGCGACTACATTCTGAATAATTTTTTTACGCGTCATCGAACGCACAGACTGTGGTCTCCTCCGGAGAACATTTACTGGTTACACGGTGATAAAACGTATATAGATCTTTATCGTACACGGAAAGAACAATTTTGCGGAAGTATCTAAAAATTTAGCTACCCAAATGGTTCCAAAATTAATTTTATTAAGATTATTAAAAGTCACTTTTGAATCAGTAATGATTCATTTTAATGTCATTTTGACTTATTGTGACTTGTGATTCTACTTGGATAGATCTGAAAATAATTTTGTTGGACTATCAAAATAATTATATAAGAAAATCAAGAATTATTTTGATAGCTCAACGAAATTATTTTCAAATCTGTATCTAGTTAAATTTTTAAACACTTTAACAAAATCATCCTTCCCGTATAGTTTTATGTAACTCTATCATTTAGATCAATTTTTCATAATATATTTCACAATATATGGTTACGTAAGGATTAAAGGTTAACAGGAAATCCATTCATGAATTTCATTGATAAATCTCTTGGTAACCTTTAATCTTTAGATTAGACAAAATTCCATCAACTACCGTAGGCATCTCGTTCGTGGCAGAATAAAAAATTCCAACTTGTACTGACACTTTCATATAAGAAAATTATTTTAACATATGGGAAAATTATTTTAATTATAGAAAAGATATTCATAAAAGTTCACTTACTGTGAAAATTATTATTAAATCATATAAAAGTTGCGAGAGGCAATATATTGCACGTCTATCGAGACTTGATAAAGTCACATGCATGTTTATCCATGATTATATTTAAAATAAATACGCGCAGTTATTATGATTTTATTACCATAATTTTGCCGGTATTTATAAAAGCAACATGGGAAAGTCATGTGAAAGGATTTAGTAATATCGCGAAGATGCTGCAGTCTGAACAGAGATATGGACGTTTGAAATATTATCCCATAGAAAAGTATCTTTTTCTACGACGGATAGCTCATGCATTCGACCCTCCGAAATTGGTTTCTGAAACTCAAACGTCCAACACGAGGCCTTCTCCGGAGAACATTCCTTCTGTTTGCAAGCGTCGTCGTCGCTGTCTATATCGCGAACGTGCGTTACACCGCGAAGCGAAATGTCATAAAAATGCGGAATTGCCTGGCAGGCAGCGGCACGAAGTAGCAATTAATGCGCGTTGAAGGCGGATGATTCGCTATGGGTTTGTGTTTGATTGATTGCTGATTTCGTCGTCCGCCCGTATATTCTTGCCGATCTAGAGCCGATCTTGCGTAAACATCCTTTGTGAGCCTTCTACAATGCTGGATGGGCGATGTACAGACTGACACAATATGTACAAAATTTCTTGAATGGAGAAAATATATACGAAAAAACGATTTTGATGAAGTATTTAAAAATTTATCCAGATACAGATCTAAAAATAATTTTGTTGGACTATCAAAAGAATTATGTAGGAAATTTAAACGTGACGAACAATGTTGGATGAAGAGAATAGTTTTGTCAGAATATATCTAAAAATTTAGTTAGATATAGTTTTAAAAATAATTTTGTTGTACTATCAAAATAATTATGCAAAACGCTCAAGCATGAGCAATGTAAAATATCTTGACATTCTAGCAACTTCTTGAACATCTTATGTAATTATTTTGATACACAAAATTATTTTCAGATCTGTATTTAGCTAAATTTGTTACCTGATGGTCTCCCTTGTTTGAGCCTAATAAAAAATGTAATTTATTTTCTTACTAATATTTTATTTAAGAACTTTTTTGTATTTGATGACTTCGTCTGTTAAGGTAACATCTTTTTCTCTGAAAATTTTTTATTTTTAAAAGCTTTTTAATCATGTTGATCCAAACATATAATAAATTTGAAGACTAATAAAATCGGTTTTTCAATGTATAGTAATGCCGGAGACATCAAACTCATTTCTCATTTTGTTATGTTGATTTACTTTAAGCTTAATTTTTCATTGGCATGACGTTAAAAATCCGTGATGAAGATCGCGATTGGCTCTTCCCGCGATATTCTAACAAAGGGTATATGCCTTTCTCTTTCTTTCTTCCCCATTATTGCGTAATTATTAATACTCTACGTGCTGTCGGCGGTATAAGTTAGCTCGTATATTCGATGATACGTGTTCAACCGCACTCATAATCGCGTCGTGACATTGGCGTGCTGTCATCACTCAAGGCCGGAGATTGCGTTACGCACATGCGACAGATTTGTTCCGTTTATTTCCCTATTGTACGACGTTACGACACGGCGCGTTGCACTTTGCGAGTTCACGGAATTGAATTATGAAATCGATCATCATCGCGTGACATCAGTAAGAGAAAGAAAATCCCAGTCTAAATGATCTCCGTATTTTTAATTTTCAACGTTTTTTGCGGTTGCGACTATTGCGGTGCCCTCCGTCTTAAAAATTCAGCTAGATGTACAAATCTGAAAATAATTTTGTTGAACTATCAAAATAATTATGTAAGACGCTCAAGCTGGTTGCTAGAATATCAAACTTTTTTGTAGCATTATTCATCTTGCTTAAGTTTCCTATATAATTATTTGGATGGTTCAAAATTATTTGAGGTCAATATGTAGCTAAATTTTTAAGTACTTCAGCAAAATCGTTCTTTCCGCGTGCGTGCCAGTCGTAACCGATACTTTGGAAATTAATCGACCGTCTAAAATGAGGGACTGGCCGACTTGAAAAGTCACACTTCGCGTGGGTTCACACAAGTAGATAATTATGCCTTAGCTCCCGGATAATTGCCCGTCAATAGTGCTTTATCGTATTTTACATTACGCAAAGTCATCGCAAATTATCACACGTCAACATACTTATATACTCAGACGTCCCGTAATTCTCCGGGTCTAAACAGAACACAATTAAGTCATCATGATACCAAAATGGCGTTAAAATAACTCCAAAATAATTACTTAAAATTACTTTTCAATCAGTTACGGTTTATTCTAACGTTATTCGGATGACGTCATTCGACATTTGACGTCACTTTGATGTCGTCTGACATTATCGTGATTTATTGTTCTGTTTGGAGCGCGCCGAAGGTTTGCAAGAAGAATATCGCCGAGAAGTCGTTTATTAATAAATTCTCTTATTAAAAATTTATTTCGATCGCGAAGCTCATCTCTCAATTCGAGACCGGAACTAGTTTCATTATCGTGAGGATACGAAAGGAAGCTTTCGCACGTCACGAGCGTTCTCGCGCGCGTCCTGTGGCGGGAATCCTCCAGTGGCGAATCGCTCTGTCGTTCTTCAGACGAGGGTGGTCTACTGCCGAACACCAGCAGCGACGGCGTCGTCGAGAGTGATGACGCGGTGGTCGCCGCAGGCGATGGCGCCTGCGTGAATGATCGCATGCTGCACTATCATCATCAGCATCAGCAGCATTCCCATCAGCAGCAACAACAACGTCATCATCATCGACTGCAGCAGCATCCGTCGGCGGAGTCTGAACTGGACGATCTTCTGCGATTCCGCGGTACCGAGACTACAACCGGACAGGGACAGGAGGAGATGGTGGCGCAGGAAATGGCACAGGGCTACACCCAGCTCCTGCATTCGGCGGCGGCGGTGCCGGCCCAGGAGACGCAGGACTACATCTCGCTGCAGGAGCTACAGCCGCGCATTCACCATCAACAGCATCACCGCACCGTGCACGACACCTGCACGCAACTGGCCACGTCTGCCTCGCAACTCTATCACCAGCATCATCAGCATCAACAGCAACAGCGAAGCGATGGACAGCAGCAACAGCAACACCAACGAGATTATTATAATCTCTCATCCGTGCAGGAGTAAGTTTGGTTGTCCCACTAATTGTGTTCGTCGTCACGAAATGATTAAGATAGAGGATCTTAATTAATGCAATATTGATGATACATGTCTTTATATCAACCGGTGTGTCACGAATGGTCTCCAAATATACTGCGAAAATTTTAAAGAAGGTAAAACGAAGAGACACAAACTTAGAAATAAGTAAAAGAGCGAGTGAAACGTGAATTAAAAATGCGAAAATTATCTAAATTATATTGTATTAAAAATTAAATTTTTCAGAAAAGGGGGAAAAAATTCTTAATTTAACAGAACATTGCTGCCTAATCAAATAATATTGCAAGAAGAACACTCTTCCAAATGACTTTTTTATATACTTTTTGACTGTGTATTTATAGATGTTTCAAAATCTAATATTTTGAAAATATGCCATATCCATTAATTTTGAGAGGTTGTTTCATTCCTTAAATCTGAGAATGGGCCGATATAAAAAAATACGTATTTTTTAGAATTTCGTGTTTGACAACATATTTCAAGGAGAATCGAATCGGTTCCTTGCAGTAATAGGTCTCTTGTAAGTCATCCTCAATTGTAAATATGATATTAATAGCGTAAAAAAATAAGTAATAATAAAAATAAGATAAAATAGTAAATTAACTGTATACAGAAAAAAAATTTGCAGATTTTAAATAAATATTTGCTCCCCAATAGTATTAACGAAATATTTACTAAATGTAAACATATATTTATTCGATTTAAACATAACTGTTTTATTTTGAATAAATATTTATTTGTTATAAATATTTCGTTAGGACTATATATATTGAAGTAAATATTTATTTAAAATCTGCAAATTTTCGTTTCAATGTAGAGATAAGACATTGAAATAAATATACAGGGTGTTTCCAAATTAAATGGCAAAACTTCGGGAGCGTGTAGAGGAGTAAAAAACTAAGAAAAAAAGTCCTATAGACATATGCTTCTTTTTGCTTTGTTTCGCAGGAAATCACGAAAAAAGAAAAAAATATATTTAATTTATTATTTTAATTATTTTATTTATAAACTTTTTAATGAAGATTTT